CTCGTCTTCATAATATTTACGAATCCAGACCGTACCGCGAAGAAAACACTTCACTTAATCATTAGAAGTCGAATCAGGCGGTACCACATAAGATTTAACAAAAGAACATCCCGGTCAAAGCCTTAAACTGAGAAATGTGGGGGACAGATTTTACGTATGGGATTTGAGGTTTTCGCAGAGGTGAATCTGAAGATGGATTGTTGCCCCGTGAAATCTGCTAGAAGTTTACGATAATCGGTGGAGTCAGTAAGAACCTTTGAAACGTCGATAAACTTCTACCAGATTGCACGGTGCAAGTCTTCTTTTGGCACTGCGCTGAATAAGGGATTAAACTTTGATATTGGCATGTGTCCGCCCCGCCCCGTCCCACCCCCCCGATAGTGACAACGCGCTGATTCAAAGTAGTCATGACCGATAAAGCATGATGTAGAATTGCTGATTGTTCTTGGAACTCGCACGTTCCATTTTCTCGTACTATCAGCCGACGAGTCGTATCTCGAAGCAAACACACTCAAGATTATATTTCCAAATCGATATATACAGTCCGATTGTTTTAAGCGTGGATATTGGTTTGCGGGTGAGAAGTTTGGCAGTGAGGGGGGTGTCCGAGGAAAGGCTCGAGAAGGAAGGTGACGAATCACCTGTTTGTTGAAGGGTTGGTATTATTAAACCGTGTGCCCCCGTTTAATCCCAGACGTCGAAACAAAACCTCACTGCGCAGTCTGCGCACTGGACAATCGTAAAAAGTTGAACTGTACTGTCATTTCATTTAGACGACGTCCGAGTTCATTCTTTTCACCCAATTTCTTCTAAACTTTTTTAGCGGGACTGATAATAGGAAGACTGAAGAAGGAATTTATAAGTTCTTTGTAGTAATTACAACAATGCAAAATGTACAATAACTTTTACCTTGCTTTTTATGATGTTAAGAAAAGATGTATGGAAAGAAATGGTTAATTGTTGTCCTCTGTGTTTCAACTGGTAAAGAAATCGTTCGAAAGTTCATCACCCCATTCACAAAAATGTCATCATTTCGTATTACGAGCTAGTCGAATGGCGTTCACAGGTTCACTAATTGTTTCTGTAAAGTTGCATTGTTGAATTATCCTCCATTTTTGCTTGAGATAAGTTTTATATGGTCATACCACGTGATGTTTTGTAATAGAATTTCGCTATTTTCTCGTTTGCTGTCATGCGTGCTACGTGTTCAGACTCTTCTATGCTTCTTAATTTATCCATAACTGTTTTAGGTGGGGAGTAAATTTGCAGAACTTCGTACCCCGTTGTTATTTGCTGTTGGTGGTGGTCAACAGGTAGCTCAGGTTGGAGGAAGGGGCTTTTCCCCAAACCAGAGATACTAGCCGAAAATCCAACCTTCGTATATTTTTTTTTATCTGGGTCCTATGTCCCTTAGACAGACGGTAGTCGGCTTTGTTATCCTACCAGAGCGATTACTTTGTGTTAGTAGAAAAAAAACCCGTTGAAAATCGACAGAGAATGGTACCTTTCCAGTTTTTCATCCTTTATTCTATTTCTTTTCGTTTTTTATTCGTCCCATACATTCGTCTCGTCTCTTTGTCTCCGTATTCCTGTTTTTTGGTCACATATTAGAAATAGTTCCAAAGACGGCTGTCAGATGGTAGCAGTATTTGTAAAAAATGCAAAAAAAAATGCCATCTAGTGTCTTTACAGAGAACTTTTAGGTCTCTTGAGTGCGCGTAATACACGCAGTCATAAACCAGATCATCATAATCAGAATTTCGTAATAATCGGAACAAATATTTGTTTTACTCGACTCAAACTTATTTTTTATCAGAATGTAGATATTTATTTATGTACGATCGCTTCCTTCCAGATTACTATTAGATTATCTTTCTGTCATTATACGTTGTTACAGTCTGAGCCACTCTGAGCATTGTTGAATAAACTAGAAATTAATACGTCTTTGTTACAATCTTATTTTGAGTGAGTTTGATCGACTATGTGTTCAGAGAGTTGTAAGACTTTAATCTTTAGCAGTGACTGAATGCTATGAAGTCATTATTGTGCGAGCAGCCATGACATCATGACACGAACCGTAATGATGGAAGTGGATACAGTCTGCGAAACATTACAGGGAATGTGGAAAATCTTTGAACGTAGGAGTGGAAGAGGTTTGTTTCTTTGTTTACTCGTTAAGAATGTGTGTACCTGTCTGACTGTAGAATGCGAAACCTTTTGAGCTCAACGGGAAGTACGTCATCATTTCTGCTGTAGTCACACACGTGAAAGCATCGACCCTTTATGGACCGACCATGGTTGACTTTTTTTTTTATTAATGACGTTCAAAGTCCAAGTAAATTAAGGAAGAGTCTAAGCTGTTTGTGAGGGGGGCGTAAGGCTGTCAGCATTTTGGAGGAGTTCAATTCCTCATCGCATGCACGGATTTTCATTTAGATACCAGCGTTGTTTCCTTACGAAACGACATGTGGACTTGTAGGGAGATAACCAGCGTTTCGGAGGAACGTTCTGCCTCTATCTTCGCCCCTAAACTACATAGAAGAGGTTAAGAATTGAGCTGTAAATATTTTATTCGGGAACAAATGTTGGTCCATTTACAACAGGGCTTGTGAATTTCGCGATACGTAACCACAGGTACATTTCAAATATTAACGTAGACAGACACTCCAGTGCCAAATTTAATCTAAATCTGGCTTACGGACGGATAGATATTAATTTTACAAGGTAAAAAAAAGTGAAATAAATAGGTTGTAGCCTGTAAATCGCGATCTAGGGCAAGTACGATCTTGGATTTATGTGTTTGAACCTTCCTGGAACCATTTATTTATTATTCGTGTTTTTTTAAATGCCGATATTCGAAATACTTTGGGCCTTCATCACTTTTTCTTTTTCTAAAGTGTGTCTCCGCGGGCCAATGTTACACGAATCCACGTGCCCACCCATCAGCCCTGAAGATGGCAACGTAAATGTTTGCCGAAACATTGACTGATTAATTTTTAGGCAGAGTTTGCCCTCGTGTTTGCTTTATCGCGTTCTTGTAATCTGCTACGGGCGAGTGATTAGGTTCACGCCCCGGCCGATTTGACTACGCGTCTGAGTATCTTTTGAGGCGAGGGTGAGATAGGCAAATTGCGTTGTCATGGTAACGCAT